TTCAAAGGGCTTTAAACGACACCAGATGATGAATAAGGGTCTTATCTAGCGAAACGATCAGCCAATTAAAAAATAAATAAAAAAGTTTTATGAGCACAAATGCTCGCCTTGCTTTTGTTCGTGACTCTCCTGTTCGAACTCGTTCATCAAAATGAACTAATCTTTTTTCGAGTCATTTCGTTCGTTGAATTAATCAAATGACTCGAAAAAAGATTTGTTCGAACAGGAGAGTCACGAAAAAACGAGTTTGAACAGGAGAGTCACGAACGCGCATCACAGAACAGAGCAAGGCGAGCATTTGTGCTTATAAAACGTAAACTTTTTTATTTATTTGTTGACCTTGAACCGTTTGGTTCCCATTGAGGTCCATTATATGGAGAAAATCCTGGAATGTTTTCTTCAAAAACCTTCATTTCTTTTCGACTGAAGAAAGAAAGACATGGACATCTTGGATGACATGGGGGTGAGTAAATTATCAGCAAAAGTTTTTTTAAAAAGTGAACTCCTCCTTTAACACGTTTTACCATTCTTTATATGAAACCAATACATATTATTTATCTGTTTTACCTCCTTCTCTGTAGTTCCAATTCCCATAATCCACTTCGTTGCTCATTCCAAAGCATGAAGCCAAAAACGCCATGGCCACCATAGGCACCATCAGCATCTTCTTCGCCGTGGGAACATTCATGGTGAAGAAGTGTCTGAGATGTGAAGGTGAGGGAAGGAGAAATAGTGAGATTTTAAACAAGTACTAAGAAAACTGCCAATGTAAGGCAAGAGTTTTCAACCTTTACCCTGCCAATACATCTCTGGCACATGGGAAAGCACTTTGTTTTTTTCCAGGACAAACGGCCAGAAGTGTTTTAAGGTCCAATGATTCTGTGGAAAATAGTGCAGAGGCCTGTATTTTTATGCAATTATTCGTTGTCAATTTCTCCTCAGGACACTTTGGGCTCTTGTCATTTTGAGTTTTCTTTTATTAGAATTTAATATTAAAGTATTCGAGGCACAAATGTGTTTATTTATTTTTAGACCTTTTCTACAGTATCCATCTATTAAAATCACACAACAAAGTAATAATTTGTCACTTTATCTGTTGAGATAATATTTAATTAATAGAACTATTTTAAATTTCTAGCTACACTCTAAAAAAAATGCTAGGTTGTTTTAACCCAATTTTGGGTCAAATATGGACAAACCCAGCAATTGGGTTACATTTTGTAACCCAATGTTTGAATTCATCCATATTTGACCCAAAATTGGGTTAAAACAACCCAGCATATTTTAGAGCGTATTTTTATTTACCAAAATTATTGCTTTTATAACAAAATGTTACATCCGTTTGGATTACTTTTACAGTACGGCCTACATCATATTTTGAAAATGAAATAAAGTCAACAAACTCAAACTCACTTTTCAAAATAGTCTATACTAGGGCTGTCAAATGATTAATCGCGATTAATAGCATCCAAAATAAAAGTTTGTGTTTATATAAATTATATATAAATAATATTTTTTTTCTTAAATATACATGCATGTGTGTGTATTTATATATATATATACCAAATAATTATACACAGTGCACCCACATATATTATGTAAGCACAAACTTTTATTTTGGATGCGATTAATCGCGATTAATAGCATCCAAAATAAAAGTTTGTGTTTATATAAATTATATATAAATAATTTTTTTTTCTTAAATATACATGCATGTGTGTGTATTTATATGTATATATATATTTACAAGTATATATTTACCAAATAATTATATACAGTGCACCCACATATATTATGTAAACACAAACTTTTATTTTGGATGCGATTAATCGCGATTAATCATTCGACAGCCCTAGTCCACACGTTAAGAACTTCCTTTCTTTGACCGTTGAGTGAAAAAGTAACATTGACTTTATTCCATTAGTTTCCTGCTTTATTTCCGTGGCCTTGTGCCCTTCACCTCCAAAGAAGAATCAGTCAAGTGTTCCAGGCTATTTAAATGAATGACTAGTTCATTCAGGAACACAGAGGCGAGATGGACGACGGGCTGATTGTCTTGTGACTGGCCTAACTGATAGCAAACTCAATTAGTTTTATTTGAAAGAAAATCTCCTTTGTGCTGCACTGAGCCTCGCGTCTCAATGACTGAGGCATAGAGGGCTCTCTGAGGTGAGATAACTGTGAGAACGCACAATCAACATGATCATTAGACTAAAACAATCACATTACAGAGAAATGCTGCAGTAAAGCAAAGAGAAACTGAAGTGAGAGGGAGTCCAGAAGGGAGAGAGAGCTTTACATAATATTGAACTTGGAGATCATGGTAATTGACTTTAGAGTGAGTCAGAAAAGAGGCATTTCTTAAAATGGCTCCATGACATCGTGGCGTAGCAGAGATCTGGATGTGCTCAAGAATACGAAAATCACAGGATTAGTGTTCACTTCTGTCGGTTTTTAACCATTTCACACATTTTTTTCTTTGGTCTCTCAAATTCAGAGACAAGGAGGTGACACACAACATGGATAAAGTGTATGTCATACATCCTGAACATTGATTTCTTACACTTGCTGTAAAATATATTTTCGATGCTTTATGAGTTGTAGACCAATTGCAAGATATGAAGGATGTATCTAGCAGAGAGAGGCGAAATAGCAGAACATTAAAACTTCAGATACCACTTAAGTGCAATATATAGTTTTAATTCACTTACTTTTTCAGGGAACGAGATGTGGCTTTCCTTTCACTTTTTTTTGGTCCTCCTGTCCTCTGCTGTAATATCACTGTCCCGTCCACTTTCTGAATGCCGTGTTGAAGTCTATTGACAGTCAGACACACTTAAACTTATTTCTGCCCAGCATAAGTACTTGTGTACATTCAACTCTCTCTCTCTCTCTCTCTCTCTCTCTCTCTCTCTCTCTCTCTCTCTCTCCTCTATCTTATCCCCTCCCTTCTTTTTTCTTTCTCTCCCATCTGTTGGCCTCTGCCTTCTCACTCCTTCCCAAAATATCACTCTTTCCAGATGTGCACCTTTTCTGTAGATTTATTTTATGTTTTCTCTATTTGATCACTCATAGTGACACACACAACCTTATATAGTAAATAGTGAGGACCTTTCATAGACATTATAATACCCAACCTCTAAACCAAACCCTTCCACTCTAAAAAATGCTGGGTTCTTTCAACCCAAATTTGGGTCAAATATGGACGAACCCAAATGTTGGGTTAAAAATGTTATCCCAACTTCAACTTTCACTTTCACCTGTACATTTGTTAATTACATTTTTTACCCAGCATTTGGGTTTGTCCATATTTGACCCAAATTTGGATTGAAGCAACCCAGCATTTTTTTTTTAGAATGTACTGAATCCTGTTGACATTTTAAAGCAAAACACGATTTAGCTGATTTATGTGCATTTTAAATAGTGATAACCAGTTCAGATGTCCTCTTCTGTCAGGTTTTAACATGTTTCATTATATGTGTGAGGACATTTTCTCACAAGAATAGACAAACATAGAGAGAGAAAGGGACGGGAGAGAGAGAGACTGTAGCAGCAGCAGTGAAGTCGGTCTGATAAAATCAGGTGTAGTTTCACATGATTTCCGTCATTCAATCAAGGCTCTTTAACACTGCTGAGCAAAAAATGCTTGAACTTGCATGTGGTTTTCAGCTGGAATGCTCCTTTATTAAAAACACTGCATTCAGAATTCACTCTTCTCACTGTATTATTTCCATGGTTACAGTTAGCGATTTTTTCGTTTAATCCTGGATAAAAAAAATGTCCAGACTTACAAAATATGTGCCAAATGATTGTACCTTTGAATTCAATAAAAGATGACTATTTTAAGTCATAAAACAATTGTTACCAACCTCAGAATCAAGATAAACTTGTGTGGTTGTTATGCCTATATCCAGGATACACGTTTATAATTTAAAATCAACTTTCGTTTTCTCAAACGTAGCCTGGAATGAACATGTAATGCCTTTACATAGCTGTGTTTGATCTCATAATGACTCCAGAAAGAAAAAAAAAATGAAAAAGGGACATGAAATATTTTGATTCGCTGGTATCCAGATGTTATATTTGTGCTCTTTTGCTCTCCCAGATCTGGTATGTGAGGTCAGTTTTGCCTGGCTTGTATGAGTTTGTGAGTAGTCCTGTACTTCAGCTCAGCAGTCACAAGGCACACATGCACCTGTTTCTCATTAAATAAGGCAATTTGTCACCTCTAACTGAATTCCTTGCTCTTTTCTTCTCCTTTCTCCTCATTTATCTCCCTATCTCAGTCTTTTTTATCTTTATCGTGGAGTATTTGAGGTGCTTGTGCAGTCTTGATGGCTTAAATTTAGTTTTATGTTGTTAGCTTTTTACGTCACGGACATTATCGTCTGCCTGTTATCTATTTTACATCAGATAGGTTATACTAAACGGTGGGAAAGCTTTATTAGACGATTCACTACTGCTGTTTTTGATTTATCCGCCCTGGCGCTAATTAATGTGTATTTCAGTGACAGTGATGTAATCATTACGTAATTCATTTTTTATGATTTTGGAAGTCCTCTTTCTTTGACGCGAGTCAGGCGCGCTCTCGCAAAGCATCACGTGCTCTTCTGCTGCCACCTGGTGGTCAAAGACACGGTGCGCTATTTTTAAACCGAATTAATCCTGAATTCGAATTAGCAACGTAGCATAGTATATAGTAAGTTTAAAACGCATATTGTTTCTGCATATAAATATATTCTATAATTAAGCATTTTTTGTGACTTTTTTATTTTTACCTCACGCTTTGTAAAGAAACTACATTTCAGTGTTGAAACTTTGTTTAAAAAACTGTTTATATTCAGACTTGAGTATTGTTGGTATACCAAGTTACCAACCAAAGAACAACAGTTGTGTTAAAGGACAAAATTAAGAAAGAGAGCTTGTGGTGTTAGAGAGGAAGTGTTTACTGAGGATTGCACGATGTTTTAATCCTGTGAACTTCCACTCTGTTGTAGGCTAATATGGCTTAACTTCCTGTGTTGTTGTTACGGGTTTTTTTTTTTTTTGCCACTTCTTTTTGAAACTTTGTGCTGAATGGTGATATCTGAGCTTTGATGAAACAACACAAAGAAAGTTCGTTTTTAAAATGAAAGGACATGTAGATTTTGGACATATAAAGATGTATGCTGTGCTGTGTTGGATCGTAATACTGTGCTGTTGGCAGGAAACTCAAGGTATAGTTGACCATTATTTATGTGTCATTGCAGTGTGTGTTTCATTTCATTGTCGTTATTGTATTGCTGGATTTCTCACCCACACTCTCTCAAGAAGAATTAGAAAGTTATGAACATATCATGAGAGCACAGATGGTTCAATAACACCATGATATTTCCTCTGTCCCTCCAGCCAAATTTGAAATCTCTATGTTGAACAGAACCAGAGTGGCACTAGCAGGAGAACTTCTTGACTTTAATCTGTTAGTGGCAATTCCAGCAAACTACAGCTCGAGCCTTGTATGCTACACTCAGAACAGGAAAATCTGGAGTAAACCCATTATAGGTGAATTTTCTGACAAAAGCGTGCCGGTGACCTCACACATCAAAATGCACAACAGATCCAGTTCTGGCAATTACTACTTTGCATTGGAAAATCAAATTTTGAAAGTGCATTGGGTGGTTCATGTGAGAGGTGAGTGTGCAGATCATTGATCATCCAGGATTGGTCTTACATTTTATGTGCTCTATAAATGAAAGTGCCTTTTGCTAATCTCTCAGGCACAACTTAAACAGTATTAAAATGTATGAATCCTAATAGTGATACTTCAAAATCTTTAATTTGCTAAATTTGTGGCTTGTGGGCCAATAGATAGGCTTGACTGGATTCATGAAAAAAATGATGACTGCAAAGGAAGCCTGAGAGGTCAGCCATGTGACATGCTAGAATGAAACTGTCACTTTCAGCAAAATAAAAACAAAATTTCTCTCCATTTCCCCTTTGTTGCTTCTCTCCCCCCACCCCCACCCCCACCCCCACCCCCACCCTAACTCTCTGTTCTCAAGATAAAGGTTACGAGGAGCCAAATGAGGAGTTGGAAGATGGCATCATCACAATGATGGCTTTCTCAGGAATTCTTCTCATCTTCAGTGTTGCCGGCTCACTTTACATATTAAAGAGCTACAAGGTAACACTTGGCCACGCAAATATAGCACATACTGTAAAAATGTACTTTAGTCAATACCTTTGCTGAGCCGACGTCTGTCTTTGTTGTATTATGCAAGATGTGTAATTCCAGAGTAGCTTTGATTGCAAGATAGTGCTGTTATGAGCAGAAAAGGGCCGACGTGTACAATCCAGAAAACCCATATGCGTTACCGTTAGTTTCAGCTCTAGTTTTGCCTCTCTTTTTTTAGGATCAACCTCCTTGTAGAGATGACAAAAATGCAGCAGCAGAACAGAGACCTGAGGATAGTGACGATGTGATGTTGGATGAGGATCCTGCATCTGCATCACTCTACACAGTGAGATTTCTTTTTCTTTGTCTCAATATTTGGAATTTATTGGGAAATGGTTTGAGTAAGAATTTTAGGCTTAATAAGGGCTAAGGTTTTATGCATCACCTTATTCTCTCTTCCAACAGGCGCTACAACACAGATCAAGCTCCATTTATGATACACTGAATGAAGAAAACACAAGCGAGACAAATTCAAATAAAAAGGTTTGTTTAATAGGGGAAAATTGTACAACATTCCATGACCTGTATTTATGGCCCATGTTAAATTATATTACATGTCTACATTAATAAATACGGTTGTAAATTGAATATAGAAACGTTTCTTGAGGATAGAATCATGCAGTGAAGGTACTTCATGACATACACTTTGCATTTATGGTAAAACTACTAATACTTACAAACTCAGACACACAATTAAACCACAAAGCACATATTATCAACAACAAGATGGCATTCAATAAAAAGGAAACTAAGGTTACCCAGGAGGTGTAATGCATGCATAATTGATGCACATAAGCATCTTAGGCCTCCAAAATATCTTTTGTGTGTTTGCAACAAAAACATTCTCTCTAGATAGTTGATAAATCAAATATAAATATAATATAACAGGAATTATCCTGACCCTTAATCAAAAAGATTTTTGTCATAATTCTAATTTGAGTATTGTTTTAGAATAACAACATTATCTACTGCTGTGTTCTCTTTCAGCACTGTGAAGCCCCAGAAGACATATTTGATTCTGTTTATGAAAACCTGTGAAGGAATTAATGAATACATGCTACCTGCTAGAATGTACTTGGTGTCAAATAAATATATGTTTTATAATTTTGTATAATATTTTTGTGTAGCATTAAATAAATGAAAGATTAAAACAATTGAAAGCTGTGTCGATATTTGACGTTTCCCCCAAAACGTTTCGCCTCACCTCCTCTTGCATAAACTGATTTCCATAGAACCAATCAAAAGACAGCTTCATATGTGTGCAACCAATGGGAACACGCGAGTTGGAATTTCCTGTGTGTTTGCCCCGCCTTCTCAAGGGTCAACAATGGCAGCCGAGGGAGATTTTCTGATGCGCTACCGGGCAGTGTCAAATAAACTGAAAAAGTAAGAGCTCAAATAAAAGATTTATATTACTAATAAAATATTATTTTCAATGTTATCTCTAGCAGAAAATGGATGTTGTATACAATATTGAGCGAGAGCGTCATGACACAACCCACACTAGTACGTTGCTATCTAACATAAGTTAAATGTAAAGAGATACGAAATTAAATTAGCCCATTAATGTACGATTTTATGTATAAGCAGCTGGTGATCACATCTTTTAGGTATTTATTTTCACGCCAGCTTCTTCGCATAACAAACAATTCCTGCAGAGTGGCTAGTCGGATGTCCAGCCTGTCAATTTAATCTTATTAGTGGCGTTTTAATATTTCGCTCTTCTCCTTCAAATCACAGACGTTTTCTACGGAAGCCTAATGTTGCTGAAGCAAGTGAACAGTTTGGTAAGTAACTTGCTGTGTCCGAAGACTGCTCAGATTGTGTAGCAATGCTAGTTCTTGTATTGTATGACATCTTTCCTCAGGTCAGCTGGCCAAAGAGCTGAAACAGCAGGACTGTCCTCAGTATGCTGCCTTCTGTAATCTCGCCATGGCCCGGTAAATGATCCATTTATTAATGTTTTTGATTTACAATAAATTAAATATCAAAGAATACATTTACATGGATAAAATAATAATAGCAAAATTATTTAAATGAATCACAATGTTGATTTAAAGGGATAGTACACATTGAAATTAATTTGTGATATTTTTTAGTTTACCTCAAGGGCATCCAAGATGTAGGTGCCTTTGTTTCCGCAGTATTTTCCATTTTTATATTTTTAGGTCAAACCGTTCTTGTCTGTCAGTCATATAATGGAGGTCTATGGTCACCACCTCAAAGAGCATGCACAGAGAAGTCCAAATTAAACATGATTTAATGACTCGTAAATGTAAGTACACATTGATGGCCTAAGACACGAAACGAGCGGTTTGTGTGAGAAAACGAACAGTATTTGTATCGTTTTTACCTCTTGTAACCACAGCCACGTCCAAGTGATCTGAAGGCGCTTCAGTGATCTCTTGCACGGTTGTGAAAAATAATCAACGTTGTCTGTTGATATATTGAAATCGTCTTCCATTGCAATTTCCTGTAATCTAAATATGTTTAAATCTTCACAGTGAAGGGTAACATTTCTGAAATCTCTGTGTGACCCCATAGACCTGCATTATATGATTGACAGACAAAAACGGTTTGACTTAAAAATATCAAAATTGAAAATACTGCGGAAACAAAGACATCTACATCCTGGATGCCCTTGAGGTAAGCTAAAACATACCAAAAATAAGTGAACTATCCCTTTAACTAAAAATTAGGGCTGTCAAACGATTAATCGTGAATATATGTGGGTGCGCTGCCGCTGTGTATAATTATTTTATATATAAACACACACACATGCTTGTATATATTTAAGAAATATTTTCATGTATATACTGTATGTAGATTTATACATAATTTATATTATTTAAAAATATAAATATTTTATATTTAAATAATATTTTTTTCTTAAATATACACGCATATATATATACAAAATAATTATACACCGTGCACCCACATATATTATGTAAACACAAACTTTTATTTTGGATGCGATTAATCATTTGACAGCCCTACTAAAAATACATCTAAATAATATATACATCCAAATAATATTTGACACAGTTAATACAATTTTTATTGTGTAAATTGGGACTTTCTTTATACATTTTTCTTTTTTTTTTTGGCTTTTTTTCTTTTAAATTGTACGAATGTGGTCCTTGATCATATCTGGGGGTCCTTGGTAGCTTAAAAATTGAAATCTCTTACTCTAGTCTAGAGAACATGCTGAAATGTTTGTTTCTGTCTTTTGTAGCTGTGAGCAGACTCTGTTCAATGCTCCAGGAGAAGCCCTGGCTCTGACTGATGCAGCCCGACTCTTTCTGGCCTCGGAACAGGAAACTAAAGCGCTGATGGCTCCTGGTTTCGATGAGAATATGCAGGCAGCAATGAACTGCTATAGTTTTGCCATTAAGGTATTTATCTCAATCAAATGTATTACTGGTTACTCAAACTCATGCAGATGAGCATATTTAAACAAAGGGCATTCAATTGCGGAAAGTTGGGCTCAGATTTCAAAATGCAGTTTTAAATAGATTCGAAAACATAATGTTTTCATGTTTCAATCATGTTTTCAATAAATTAAACAATGTTACCCCTGCTTAGCTTAGCCTGGGTTTGCATAGTTTTGTTTTACTATCATTGAGGTACAATTATAGCTTTTATTTTAATAAAATAGAAACATTTTAGTACATCAAAGTAAAACTAAGTTTAAATGTCTCCTTGGAAACTAGCTGAAATAAAACAAGGTGTTGTTTACAAGACACCATTTTTAACTAAAAATGAAAAACATTTTATGCATTTTGGCTGTTCATTTACAAATTTTCAACACAAATGTTTGAAAATAGATATAAATAGAGATACCGTTATCTTCTCTGTGTTAACTACACACAAAAACGTGAATTTGTGAAAACGCGTATTACGTGTTCAGTCTATAGGCGCGTAGTGTTTCTTTACAAAGTGACATCGCCAACTACTGGCCTGTCAGCAGAATACAGCATTTTTAGTGGTTTTGGCGTATCTGTGTGGAGGAAAACCGTTCCGTTTTCGTCATGTAAACATACTCAGTTTTATTTTTTTTACACTTTATTTTGTTTCAAGAGTGAACAGCTAAACCACTACAAAGAAAATCAACCTTTGTTTTCATTATAGTAATAGTTCACCCCAAAATGAAACGGTTTTAGCTAATTTTCGCTAGCTGCTATTTCACATGCTTCTTGTAAAAATGCTAAAAATTGAAGTCATTTGAAGAGTACTGCTGGACTAATATAGTAAAAAGCCTGAAATCTTGCAATCACATGCAGATTTTGTGTTTATTTCGATGTTATACTGCAAATATGTACTTGTATATTGTTTAGGTCTATATTGAGATGAATCAGCCTGTTATGGCGGCCAGTCTCTCACTGGAGCTTGGCAATGCTCTGAAGGTGAGACCAATCATTGTAATTTATGGGGAGGCTTTCTCTTAATAATTGAATTTAAAATGCACAATCCACAGTGCCTCGGCATGATGTGGTCCTGTTTATATATTTGTGTGTAGGAGATGAATAGACCGGGGGAGGCGATAGTTCATTTCCAGAGAGCCGCAGAACTGCAGATTCAGACTCCAATCGAAGCCCTGCTATCACTGTGGGAAATGGCCTCCTGCAAAATACTGACCCGTGAGTTTGAAGAGAGGAGGGTATTCTTGATTCATTTCATGCGTTGAGTTTCAGATCAGAGCAGTGATGTGCTGTTTGATCGGCAGGTGATTATGACGGTGCTCTTGCTGTACTCTCGGAGATGCAGCACATGTGTCAGGAGAGAGGACTACAGCTCCCCGGCACCAACACCCCTGTAGGTATGAATATAACGCACTTTCACTACATTCAGTAAATACAAGCAATCTTAGTTTGGAAATCTAGCTGTGTGAGGTAAGCCTGTTAAGATTATTGATTCATCATCTAATCTGGGTTATTCGATCTAATTGCAATAATTTGAATAATTTCAGTCGCATTTTGCCAACAAATAAAAAAAAAATGCTGTTGCCTTTTTAAATTATTTTTATTATTATTAGGGCTGTCAAACGATTAATCGCGATTAATCGCATCCAAAATAAAAGTTTGTGTTTTCATAATATATGTGGTTGCACTGTGTATAATTATTTTATATATATAAATACACACACATGCTTGTATATATTTAAGAAATATTGTCATGTATATACTGCATATAGATTTATATTATACATAAATATAAATATTTTATATATAAATAATATTGTTTTCTTAAATATACATGCATGTGTGTGTATTTATATATATACAAAATAATTATACACAGTGCACCCACATATATTATGAAAACAGCCATTTGACAGCCCTAATATATTATACACAATTCCGAGTAAAAACATAACGTATTAGACTTATTCTGTAAGTCACATGACCTAATCAGAATTAAAGTGCCCCAATTATGTTATTTTAAAGATTCCTAATGTTGTTTTTGACGTCTACCGCAAAAGGTTCACATGCATCGAACGTCAAAAAACGTATATTAATATTCTCAAATTATCCATTGCACATCACCTTATTTCAAGATTCAGTCTCTCTAAACCCCTCCTTTCCGCGGGCTACTCTGCTCCGATTGGTCAGACGGGACTGTCTGTTGTGATTGATCGACCGCTTACACCGTATGATGGAAATTAAATGCAAGCTACCATATCTGAAATTCAGCTCCGGATCCTTCCTCAGCACTGGCGTCTGTTTTTCCGTATCAATTGACCGTTCGCAAAGACCCGCCCCCCTTAGTTACTGTCGCTATGCCTGACAAGCTACGCTGCTCTCTCTCACACACACACACACACACACACCATGTTCTCATGCAGTGGAAAATACATCACGGACTGACAACTGACAGACAGGGGTTACTTTTCAGTTACTTTTGGTATTAAACATATTAAACAAAGTCTCACCTTTCAAATTTAAGTAATTTTTTTAAGAAATTTAAACAATTTAAACAAATAAAATTGAATGTGTGTGTGTGTGTGTGTGTGTATATATATATATATATATATATGTCTGTGTGTGTGTGTATATATATATATAGATGTATAAATATATATATATATGTGTATATATATATAAATATAGCTTTATTTTCAGTTATGATACATGAAACAAAACATATATGCATAACATTACAATTGACCCCCTCTGGACTTTCACCAGATTTGCCATTTATTTGGGTTTTCTGATCACATATTTATAACCAGCAGTCATATTATGTTTTGTGACTGATATTCATCATGTCAACAATCTGAGTCTTTTTTACTGAGTCAACAGTCCTTTTAATTTTGTCTAGACATCAGCTAATAATAATGGCAAGGAAATGAAATGTGCTGTAAAGATTCATGTTTCATTTGTGTTTGTCTTAATTCTAGGTGCATTTATGGATATCATAGCCAAGTGTGAAATCTCCAGGGTACTGCTGTTAATGCTGCTTGAGGTAAAGTGAATATTTTAAATAAGCTCACCTCACACCTTGGACAAAAGATGAATAAACCAGACCAATACCATCAGTGGGTTTATTTACTATATCAATAAGCATACTATATGTTTGTGTGTTTTAGCCTCCCCCTCAAAAGCTGCTTCCCGAACACGCTCAGACGCTAGAGCGATACGCCTGGGAATCCTTTGACTCGCATAGTCATGGTAAAACTTTCTAGAGAACCAGGCACAGTGTTTTATTTGGTTGCTATCCTGTATAAACTGTTGTCACTGTCTGTCCTCTAGTGAACTTCCTTCCAGAAAACGTGTTTCTTCTCCTACAGTCAGTTGTGGTATGTATTTAAAATCGATTTATGTAAAATTAGTACATAAAATGGCCACCACATTTAATCTGCATTCAAAAGTTTTTGTGAAAGATTGTGAAATATGTAAAACAAAGTAGTGGTATGGAATTAAATAAGGAATAAATATGCGTAATAAATATGTAACATAAACTACCATTCAAAAGTAGAGCCCGACTGATAAAGGATTTTGAAGGCCGATACCGATACAAATATTTTTGGGTTTTAAAATCCGATATATCGGCCGATATTTTATTTATTTATTTATTTTTTTAAACTGGACATAATAGTTACAAATTTAATCATGCTTATTTGAGTTAAGAGAACTGATGGGGATGTTCTTTTAATTGTTCTTCAAGCAATGTATGTATCGTGACCAACTCAACGAGTGTTGCCAACAGGAACGTTGTAGAGTGCCCTCTGGTGGACAAACTATACAACTCCAACACTCATGACATGGTTGAAGCGTGTTTCGTCCGTTTTTATTTTATTTTTGAAATATTCATTTATCGGCCATTATAACTGCCGATACCGATAGTTTGGAAATTGCCTAATATCGGCCGATAATATCGGTCTGCCGATATATCGGTCTGGCTCTATTCAAAAGTTTTGTGTCAGTAATTTGTTTTTAAAGGAATAGTTTTGTTCGGTACCAGAATGATTTCTAAAGGAACGTGTGACACTGAAAACTGGAGTAATGATGCTGAAAATTAGGCTTTGACATCACAGGAATATAATAGAGAACATTTCTAATCAGATTTCACAATATTACTGTTTGTTCTGTATTTTTGACCAAATAAATGCATCTTTTACAGATGGCATGTCAGGAAAAGGATACAGAATCTCTCAAAGCTCTTCAGACAGAACTATGGTATGCTTTCTATATATCCCATACTAGGCACTTATCCATATTATATTTAAAGGAGTAGTTCACTTTAAAAAAAAACTTTTGCTGATACTTTACTCACCCCCATGTCATCCAAGATGTCTTTATTTCTTCAGTCGAAAAGAAATTAAGGTTTTTAATAAAAACTTTCCAGGATTTTTCTCCATATTTCTCCAAATGGTCGCCTTGCTCTGTCCGGTGTGACTCTCCTGTTCGAACTCTTTCATCAAAATGAACGAATCTTTTCCCGAGTCAATTCATTCATTTTGTTCGTTGAATGACCAAATGACACAAAAAAAGATTTGTTCATTTTGATGAACGAGTTCGAACATGAGAGTCACGAACGCGCATAGAGCAAGGTGACCATTTGAGCTTATAAAATTTAAACTTTGTCATTTTTTTTAAATGAGCGATCGATAAGACCCTTATTCATCATCTGGTGTCGTTTAAAGCCCTTTGAAGCTGCACTGAAACTCTTATTTGGACCTTGAACTGTTTGGTTCCCATTGAAGTCCATTATATGGAGAAAAATCCTGGAAACCTTAATTTCTTTTCAACTGAAGAAAGAAAGACATGGACATCTTGGATGACATGGGGGTGAGTAAATTATGAGCAAAGTTTTTTTTTTAAAGTGAACTACTCCTTTAAGCCTTTGCAATTAGATAACCATTTTGAATCACCTTGCTTTTGTCTCATGACAGGCCTCTCCTTTCGGCAGAACAGAATCATCTCCTCCACTTAGTGGTCCAGGAGCGAATTACACCCTCCGGTCAGGGCATATGATTCGGCACCATACACCCCCACAAAACACTTATTGGAACATTCCTATGCCAGTGCCTGGTGCATTTTGCATGAGGACTGTAGAAGGTCACTGGACCTAGTAGAACTGTACAATCATCACATGTGAGAAATTTATCTCTTATTCAAACATGCTTCTTATCCTCCATTTTCAGATAATGTTATGATATTGTGTTTAAAAAGAAATGCTTAAAGTTTAATAAAATATTGATGTTGTAAATAACAAAAATGATAAGAAAGATTCTTATGGCAAGGTTTTTATTTGTGTGATTTACTAAAATGAATGTCCTCCCTGGTTCATGGCTTTGCAATGAAAAAGTCCAATCCGCTAAATAAAAATACATCTAGAACTGAGACTGAAACCAAGCAAAGCAGAAACTGGATAACTCAGACAAGGAACTTCTTCCTTGAGAGGATATTGAATAATTGCGCCCATAAAAATAGTGCATTTCGAAATAAAAAAGAAAAGAAAAGCGATCTTAAAATTCTTTTGGAATATTCTGTGCTCTAGAATTAGAATCGTACAGGGTGATCATCTGACCACATGAACAATCATTCATCATGCTAATCAAAATAGTTGGCATAGCAACAGGACCCATGATGTCATTATCAAGAAAACCACACAGAAATAGTTCAGGAAATAGGATGGCAGAGTGTTTTTACAAAAAGTCTACATGACCAAGTGATTGATCACAAACTGAGCAGCACCATAATGTATAAACTATCAAAGTAACAAAGACTATCCTGTGCTATTGCCATCAACAACATAAATTGAAAGAAAATATTAAATAAACATGTTTTAGACAAAGCTAGTTCTTAAAGTGCGAATGATGTTTAAAACTACTTTTATAACGTTTTTCTGTATGTACTTTATATGTACAACTTAGTTTTTTTCTTTATACATATAAATACATTTGTACAATTCATTCTTGTATATGCTGTATTTAATGCCATCTTTACACACTAACCCCTGCAATTAAGTTTGTTTAGACCCTCTTAACAGCCCTCTTTGTGGAAGTAGGAAGCCAATCTATAGCATTACTCAAAAATAAAAATGCTGATTTAAAGGAGGAGTTCACTTTTTAAAAAAACTTTTGCTGATAATTTACTCACCCCCATGTCATCCAAGATGTCCATGTCTTTCTTTCTTCAGTCGAAAAGAAATTAAGGTTTTTGATGAAAACATTCCAGGATTTTCTCCATATAATGGACTTCAATGGGAACCAAACGATTCAAGGTCCAAATGAGAGTTTCAGTGCAGCTTCTAGTTCAAAGGGCTTTAAATGACACCAGACGATGAATAAGGGTCTTATCTAGCGAAATGATCGGCCATTTAAAAAATAAATAAAAAAGTTTAAGTTTTATAAGCACGAATGCTGGCCTTGCTCTGTTCTGTAATGATGCACGTTCATGACTCTCATGTTCGAATTCGTTCATCAAAATAAATCTTTTTTTCAAGTCATGACTCAAAGGGTCCTAGATAAGACCCTTATTCATCGTCTGGTGTCGTTTAAAGCTGCACTGAAACTCTCATTTGGACCTTGAACCGTTTGGTTCCCATTGAAGTCCATTATATGGAGAAAATCCTGGAATGTTTTCATCAAAAACCTTAATTTCTTTTCGACTGAGGAAAGAAAGACATGGACATCTTGGATGACATGGGGGTGAGTAAATTATCTGCAAAAGTTTTTTTTAACAGTGAACTACTCCTTTAAGGCTTTCACCTATTTTAAACTTGCTCAAACGTTTAAATGAACTGCTGATGCTATGATTTGCAGAGCACATTTCTACATTTCCATCATAGGCCTGTATTCAAGACAACTCATTCATTTTCAGGTACTGCACCTACACTTTGAAGTAGTACAATTAGTCAAAGTCCACATTGAAGTTAGCATGACAAAAGAAAGGAATATCCGAGGCTGTACGTTAGCCCTGGGAGCGAGGGCTCAAGTTTAATCCACTCTCTTGCGCAGGACGATGTACATAATTCCCGTGAAGAGGGTCAGCAGCCATCCAAACCAGGCCATGATGTAGGACCAGCCGTACCAGCCGTCCTTCTCACCTCTGTGAAAGTGATCGGTGTAGACTGACAGAGCCACCATTATGCAGAAACCTAGAGGTGCAAGAAACATAAATGTACAACAAAAATTCATGTCTGTGCTATGTTTTTTTTTTTTTTTTTTTTTTTTATAAATGTACAAACTTTGAGACAACAATCCACACAAGTGGTCGACCAATGCCGAAATTAGGCATTTGTTTTAAATATCAGCATAAGTGTCAGAAGCGAACTGTTATTTTGACAGTGCTGGGACTTTTATTTTGACAGTGATTGCAACTTATTCTCCATCTTTATTAATTTACTGTCTTTTTTGTCTAATTGACAAAATATTAGACAGAAAACATTATATAAAATAAAGTATTATAGCATTTACCGTTCTATTAGTCATATTTAGATTTAGTTTTTTTTATCAATTTTAATTTTTTTCATATTTATATATTTTACAATTAACTATTTCTAATTTAGTAAATACTTAAAATAAATATACATTTGATTGCAGCAACTGTTATGTATGTGTTGTTTAAATTAAAATATATATTTTATATATATAAATATATATAAATACACATGCTTGTATATATTTAAGAAATATTTTCAATTTATATTATATAAATATTTTATATAAAAATAATATTTTTTGCTTAAATATACCTGCATGTGTGTGTATTTATTTTATATATATATATATATATATATATATATATATATATATAAAATAATTATACAAAGTGCACCCACATGTAAACACAAACTTTTATTTTGGATGCGATTAATCGCGATTAGTCGTTTGACAGCCCTATATAAAATATATCGGCCACCCTACTCTCTAAGATATCAGCATCAACCATCAAAAAATACATATTGGTCGATCACGAACACACAAACACATTTCAATGACGCCTTAATTTAACCTCAGATTTCAACCTAAGGAGATTTTACAAAAATGTATGAATGAGATTAGCCACCAATTAGCCAAAAAGAAAATCCCATGAGATTGTGTCGCAGATTTTCAGAAGCAGGGACTTACAGGAGATGAGCTGTACAACTCCAGAGATGGTGAACCGCTTTCCTTTACCCAGAGTAAAGAGTTGGAATATGAATACGCACAGAGAGAACACAGCAAACAGGCAGGACAGCACTGCAAACGCCTGAACCGCCTGCAGATAGTCTAGAAGGAGAGATTGATGGGACATCACGTGAGTGTCCCAGTCTGAACACTCTTAAAAATCAAGGATCTTTATTGGAATCATGAAGAAACCGTCAAACCGTTCGTGTCTGTCAGTCATATAATGCAGGTCTATGGTCACCACCTCGAAGAGCATGCACAGAGAAATCCAGATTAAACATGATTTAATGACGTTTTTTTCAAGTTGATTGTACTGAAATGAGTGTTTACGAACAGTATTTATATTGTTTTTAGTACCTCTTGTAACCACAACCACACCCAAGTGATCTGAGGGTGCTGGTGCTTTGTGACTGTGGCTACAAGAAGTAAAAACAATATAAATACCGTTTGATTTCTCACACAAACCACTCGTTTCGTGTCTCAGGCCATCAATGCGTACTTACATTTACGAGTCATTAAATCATGTTTAATCTGGACTTCTCTGTGCATGCTCTTTGAGGTGGTGACCATAGACCTCCATTATATGACTGACAGACAAGAACGGTTTGACCTAAAAACATCAAACTTGAAAATACTGCAGAAACAAAGACACCTACATCTTGGATGCCCTTGAGGTAAGCTAAAACATATCAAAAATTCATTTCAAAGTGAACTATCCCTTTAAAAGTGTAAAAGAGGGGCCACCAGCGAAATTACACGGATGCCGAAAAAATACCTACTGATAAAATGATTTCTCTTACCTTTCCTGTATGAGGTCGGTATATCCATGTACACCCAGACATCATCATTGTTTTCCATCACCCATCTGCCCCACAGGTCTGTGTAAAGGGTCCTTGTGAACCACCATGCCTGGGAAAATAAAACAAACAACCATTAGCTACAAGCAAATTACAATATAGTTAACAATTGAAAATGATTGACTACTAAAGTGGCAATTCAATGCACACATATTTACATTTCATTACATATCCACATAAAAGAGAAATAATATTAACTTACATCATCTATAGTTGCCCAAAAGAGGAAGAATATTGTAGTCAGATGAAGCAAACAGATTCCAGCCAAGGCCTTCAACATATTCAGAGGATGAGAGGAGGAAACAGGGTGGAACAATATCCCGCTGAAAGGGAGGGAAATATAAGACATGACATCTTGTGTTTAAGAAATACTCCACATCGAAAGGTCATGAATGGGATTTACTGGGAATAACTACGTTTTGAAATGAAATCGTTGTAAGAATGTATGTCAAATGTTTAACTGTGTCCTATGCATTGGTGTTGAAGGGAAGAGGGGTTTAATGACATCTTTTCCAAATGAATATATGCACAGTACTACTTGTATGCTAATAATAATTAAAGCTATGTGTGTTTCCATTTCAGTCAGGCAGATTTTCCCAATATGCTGGTAACAAGCAGCCGTGGCCTATCACTACATTAAAGCTGCATGATGCAAGGCGACAGATAGTCATTGTTTTGTTATTTTAGGGTTACCTCTCCAATTGGGATACTAACTTTGTTTCAACCAAGATAACACATCTCCAACGACCGTTAAACTACAATAGATGTCATGAGTAGAAGGTTTTCTTAAAGTCACACATATGAACTGAGATGATAGTACATGCTGTTCAAAACAAACAACAAGAACGTTACGACAAAATATTGTGTTCAATCACATTAAATTAAAAACTGTTCAGAGCAGACCTCATGCCAATACATTCATTTATACGCCTCAAAATAAGGTCAATGCGATCAACAATGCATAACAATCCGTTATTTAGCAAACCAACATTAGCCTACATACATTAGACGAACGTACAATGTACGAATTCGTGTTACGTCATACTTTCGGATGCCGCTTCATCCAAATTCGTAATAATCTAAATAGATTTCCCTTTGTGTTAATGTCGATTCTAATTCTAATATGCTTCATAAATAGGCTACTAACTTAACAACCTGAATTCTACAGCCACGGCACAGATAATAAAACGTTACCTTGGGTATTTTAAGCTCTCAATTTATTTCTCGCTTTTGACCCACCATCCGAGGATCCGCACTTCCCCGCACCTCGTCCGCTGTCTCGCCCCCCTCCCGCACTCTTTTGCTGCATAGAGAGAACCCCACCCATCCCAAGGACTTACTTTTAAGTCCTTACGTATCCCACATCCAGAATGCGAAATCCTAGAACTGTACTGGATATTCATGCACGATGTGTAGTAATAGACACACAAACGTTGGTTTCTCTGAGTGTCAAAACAGCCACCAAAATATTTTATTCAAATGCCGTTTAGACGCCTCCTTAAAAGCACTGGAAATTGCACTTTTGCCGCATGCTCACTAATTCTTTGCAAGAGTTTGCGAGGTCGTCATCCTGTTACCTAGAGCTGTGATGTGTTTTAGCTACAGCGATCTATCCGCATCATGCCGCAGCATCCTAACTCAGCTCTTCTGGAGATGCACGGTGACCGCAGACTCCACACTCGCCCGGTGTCGCACACATAACTGCAACTGCAAGGTTGACAGGGATTCATTGAACGGGCCAAACGCAGCAGCACATGGCTACCCAACAATAGGGCGGACCAAGCGCCAATCAAAACCCATCTCTCCAATCATGATACAGTAGCGCAGGCAGAAAGTGATGCGCAGGTACTTTGCAGAGGTTGATGATGACTCATCTAAAGTAGGGTTGAAGCGACACCTACTGCGGATTGAACGGAGAGATCAGGGCTGATTGTCAGTGTTTTTTCTCCGTGCGTTGTGCATTTTGTTTCCAACATTTTTTTTGTGATTTTTTCCCCCCAACTTTTTGCGTGAAAATTAATCATAATGGTTATATGTTCGTATTGTTCATATAGGCTAAATGTCACGAGTATGTTTCTAAATTATATTTATATTTACATATATTTATAATTGCAAATGTAAATTAAAAAAATGTCTATATTTCAAGAATTGTGTGTTTAATGGTTTTATCACGTCATCTTGTTTAGCCTCACTGTTAAAAAACATATATTGTTGGTTTAACTTAAAAAAAATAAGTAACCTGGTTGCCTTAAAATTTTAAGTTCATTGAAATGGAAAAATTGAGTTAATACAATGAAGGAGATTAATCACTAGAAACTCAAAATATTATGTTATCTAAACTATATAAGTTATCTAAGTTGATTTGACAAAATAAAAAATGTTGTGATTACAAATCATGAAAATATTTTTTTTACAGTGCTCATCCATTTTCAGAAAGAAAAAGAGGAGAGTAATTATGGAATGACAACTCTGATCGTACAGCAACCGTTGAATATACAGAAGAATTCGAAAAATTAGAATATCGTGCGGATTTCAGTAATTCAACTTAAAATATGAAACTATAAACTCATTACAGGCAAAGTGAGATATTTCAAGCCTTTATTTGTGAAAACTGTGAAAATTGTGAAAACATTTTCATAGAGCTCTGCAGTGCTTGAATTGAATCAAGTCTTATGGGGGCATTTACCCCCCATAAAAAAAATTGTCACCATTTTGATTACATATTGCGAGACTTACCATATTGGTAAGTCTCGCAATACAATTTATACAAATTATACAATGAATTTGATCATTACATGTATAAATATATACTATTTCTTAAAAAAGGTTGATAGCCTAGCCTTTAGACCCAAAAGGGCAATATGGCAAATAGCCTATACCAGGGCACTACATATAAGGCCCTTGAAGCCCTGTAAAAGCATATGTGACTTCAAAATAAATTAAAATGTCTCAAAAACAGTAGAAAATAATCAGATGGCTTCCAGACTCATTGGATGGTACTGTCAGATTCAACAGTGGCACAGAAATAATTATTTCATAATGTCTCAGAAAGCAGTGATAACGGAGCAGTCAGTAACTTCAAAAGGATCTTCAAAACTTTTTTTTTTATTACTTAAACAGTAGCAATGGGATGGAAAATACTATCAGGCTGTAATGATACTGTTTAACTTTACTCAGAGAGTGCAGGACAAATGGGCAAACAGGAGTATTTGAAATAGTTCATAAGTTAACATAGGCATGTCCAGGAGATTCTCAAAAGTTTTTCAGCATCATTACGCCAGTCTTCAGTGTCACATGATCCTTCAGAAATCATTATGATGTCAATAACAGAAATCAATATGATGACATTTATGATTATTATCAAAGTTGGAAACATATTTGGGTTCATACAGTTCATATTTGTGTGGAAACCGTCATACATTTTTTTTTTCAGGATTCTTTGATGAATAGAAAGTTCAAAAGAACTATCTGCTATGCGCATCTATCCAAAACTATAACAAATAAAGGCTCGAACTAGCATTTTAATGAGTCTATTTAATATATTAGTTTAATCTTTTAAGTTTTAGTTCATTAGAAAATTGTTTAATGCCATTTAGACAATTAGCTTCAGCTGTGGTTCATTAAGGCTACAGCTCAAATGGCGTCGGTTCCCAGCGCAATGCTTTTTATTAGTAGTTCTCAGGCTCGATAGTTAGCTATATTTTACAAGCTAGCTCGCATGCTGTTTGTGCTAGCATGAAATGAGTTAAACCTCAACATTGATGAAAAGTAATTGTATCACTAAGAGCGGGAGATTCAACTATCCGAAATGAATGCGTGCGGTCATCTTTCAATACTTTGCATCTTATTATTCGATCTTCAGCCTGCTTTTTGTAACGAATTTGCCAAGAGGGATGTGCCTAATGGCCACGACGAGATATCAGGTGGCGATTTCTTCAAGTCTTGGCTAAACTCAAAACAGCGAAGAAGTGTGAAATCGGTCGGAGACAGAGGACTGAAAGCATTAAAACAGACACGACAAATTAAACCGCAGTTTGAATGTGGCGACCTGGTCTTTAAAGTTTTTCTAAAGCAAGATGATGTCGTCAATCTCCGAATTAGTGGACGTAAGTGTAAACAGAATATCCTTTAACCTCCTGTTAATTCCCATAAACTACTGAAGTGCAAGTGATAAATGTCAGCGATTAGTAATTCATGGAAATTTAGAACGTATTTTGTCTCAAGCCATTAATAACAAACTCATACGAAATTTTCAGAGAATGTCTTTTTAGAGCGCTGTTAAAACGATGGTTCACTTTGAAATTAATTTGGTATGTTTTAGTTTACCTCAAGGGCATCCAAGATGTAACTTAGGTGTTTATGTTTCCGCAGTAGTTTCAATTTTGATATTTTTAGGTCAAACCACTCTTGTCTGTCATAATGCAGGTCAATGGTCACCACCACAAAGAGCATGCACAGAGAAGTCCAAATTAAACATGATTTAATGACTCGTAAGTACACATTGATGGGCTAAGATACGAAACGAGCGATTTGTGTGAGAAATCGAACAGTATTTATATCGTTTTTACTTCTTGTAGCCACAGCCACAAAGCGCCAGCACCCTCAGATCACTTGGGTGTGGTTGTGGTTACAAGAGGTACTAAAAACAATATAAATAAATACTGTTCGTAAACACTCATTTCAGTACAATCAACTTGAAAAAGTTGAAACTCCTTAAATCTCATATGTTGTTCAGCAAGGCTTTATTCTGAGTCTTCCTCTTTTTGCCTTATGTATGCTTCCACTCGGCCATATTATACAGAAACCGAAATTATCTCATCTATGCCGATGACTCTCCTAGTCCCTCGTTCACGTTTTAAAACTATAGGTGAGCTGGCTTTTGCTGTGGTTGCTCTGGAATGTTATTCCCCTTCTATTTTGGTTTAAATCCTCTTTGAAGACCCATTTTTTTTCTTTGTTTCAATTCTGTTTGAAGGTATAGGCTACAATTTAATTTCTTTTGTTTTTTGGTTATGTATGTTTAGTAAGATCAGAGGATGTCTGAATGAGCACAAACTGGGTTTTGGAAGCTACATCTAGACAGCGATCCACTATTTTAGCATTTCCAAAAGCTTTAACAAGACTTGAAGCAGAACACATTTGGTTATGTATGTATGTTACATTTATTGTACAGTACTTTGGGTTCAACATCTGTTGTTTTTAAATGTTCTTTATAAATGAACCAAACTAGTCCTGTATTTAAACTGCAGCTATGTTTTCTTCCGATAGCGCGTGGAGACCTGCTCCGCTTGGAGCAGTTATCAGCTTTTTGTGGCGTTGCCATCAAGACGTCACACACAGATGTCCACCTGCTATTCAGCTATGATTCATGTTATGTGAAACCAGAGGTTCGTGTCTTTTTGGTTTTCCATTTCAGTCACTGTAAAAGTGTTATTCAATAAGATCTGTTAGATCTTGTATTTGTATTTCTTTCTTTTTTTTCCTAGACAAATGTGTCTCTTTTTGGGGGTTGTTCCGGCGGTAAAGTGACGTCAATGCATTCCCTCTATATAAGGGATAAGAAATTATTCAGACTGTGTAAATATGCTTTCCGTCAGGGCGAATCAAGTTAAACGTATACAAAACGTATTGGACACATTTGAATTCTGCGGTTAATGGCATATTTTGAAGGGACATGGACGAGATTAGTAGGAAATTTTGATAGGCAAACTGTGATATAAACTTGTATGGCAATTATATATAATAGGAAATTAGGTCAACACATTGAAAAATGCTGAGCGTTTCAAGTCAAGTATTCAAGTATGTATATTTATATAGTGCTTTTCACAATATAGATTGCATCAAAGCACCTTTACAGTGTCAATCAAAACATAACAATATTCGTTTCTTAGTGGAACAACACCCATGTTTGGTAGAGCTGATCAATGGTGTTATTTATTGGTTAATTAATTTGAATATCCCCAACTGAGCAAGCTGGCTAACATCAGACCACGTATCACTGAGAATGAAACGTTGTCTGGAAACCACATGTAAATTTTCTCGTATTTGACTCGTGGTTTACGAATGCCCAGAGCCGTATTATTGGGTGCTACGAATGTCTATCAAATGCGCCTGTGCTCCCTCCCTGTTCTGTGATTGGTTCCCTATTTCAGGGGAAAATTTGGTTCGTGATATCCAAACTGCCTAGCAGCGCGAATAAAATCGCGCTGCGGCAAGGCAGAATGGGGAAACCCAGGCTACAAGCCAAAGGCAACATGGCAAGGAACTGAAAAGTGACTTAATGGCGAAAAAAAAAAAAAAAAAAAAAAAACATTTGGAGAACTCAGGCTCACTTGTGGAGATCTCAATTTGTGGGCCTCAATAAGATGATCTTTAAAACGATTCACTTTATTAATTTTGTACAAAAACATTACAGGAAAGTGGATATGTATTGTCTCTGAGCTGGTATGGGACAGAGCAGGCTCTGTCCTGTCCTAGAAGTAGGACCCCTCCCTCCGTTGTCTGTAAGAACAATGCCATGGAAATGACTTTAGCTGGTGATGGGAGAGCAGATGAATTGTCAGTTGCATGTAAGTATTGAGTAATGGGATTGAAGGCAAATTCAGTGGTGACTTACACTTGTGGACTTTCTGATGTGTTAATATCACCTGTTTCCACAGTAAATGGGGAATGGGCACCTCTGCTTTATGTGGCCGCTGAATGTTGGCACAGAGAGCGGTCTTACCAGGGACAGCTCACCTTCTCTGTTCCGTATAGCAGCTGCGGTGTCTACTTCAGGGTGAGATGTTGTGGGTATTGGGTGATATTTTACGGATTTGGAGATTATTTCTGATGTTTGGTTTAAATGTGATTTCAGGATGGTCACTTCATTCTGGTTTTGAAATCAAAAGGCCAGATGATTCCACTGTCTTGTCCATATGAGCCAAAACCAGGGTTTCCAGTCAAAAACCCTGGGTTTTCTGAGACAACCCAACCTCCGCCACAAAAGCAACTCCGTGTATACCACAAGGAACCAATTGTATTTCCAGTTGAGCAACAGCAAAGAAATTTATCGGGATCACCCCATCTACACCCAAGGAGTCGTTGGCTGCCTAAATTGCCATCTTTGCCATCTTTGCCTGGCTCTTTTAATCTGTCTGTAAACTTCCCCTTTTCACTTCCTATGCAAAAAGAGCCGGTGCTTTACAGAGATCCTACGACAAGTAAACAGGGGGTTTTGACTCCTGAACCGGTTCCTCGACCAACTTTTAAGCCGATTATTGAATCGACTGTGGAATTGACTACTGAATCAACTCCTGAACTGACTACTGAATCTGCTACCGAATCGCTTCCTGAACCGACACGTGAACCGGAAAATGAACATCGACAAAGTAATCTTGAGCAGATGGAACATGATCTCGCTGCTGCGGTCACAATTCCTCCTTACCACGTGGCCTATCCTAATAGTTTCGAAAGACCGGCTTCATCTCGTCAATCTAGGCCTTCCTTTGTCCCGAAAAATCAGTTTTCAAGGGTTCCTGTCCCTAGTTCTTCCCTGTATCCTTTTGGGTCAGCTCAGAACTACAACTTTCCTGATCGGCTTAAAGTAAATCCTTCTCTTGACAGTATAGCGCAGTATCTTCCACCCGGGTATTTCATATGCTCACATAATCCACCACCACCGGTTCACCCAGAGAGGTTTCTGCCTCCTGTTCCAAATCCTCTTCAACCTTTACAGTTTCAAATACCCAGTTATCAAAAGCCTGACATTACTTGGTTTGCACCATCTAACCCTGCTGTTCCTCCCATGACTGTTTACCCAAAGCCACTGACCAGTGCTGTGGCTTCTAACCCCCATCAACTTTTCCAGCCAGCTCAGTATTTTCAGCCTGCTGAACCACACCTAAACTTTTACAGAGGAAGTTATGGCCCTCTGGGTTCCACCTCAACTCGCCAATCCCCAGAAAGACTTTATCCCTCTTCCCCTGCTCTGCAAGAGGATGGACCCAGCAGTCCAAAACGTGTCCAGAAGCCAGGACAACAGCCTTGGTCAACCAGTCACCGTCCTGTAAAAAAGCCATCTCAAGAGCCAAAACCACTGGTGCCAGCTTCAAGACGTACACCAGATGTTCTCGAGTATCTGACTGGTGGAGATGAGTCTCTAGAACTTTATCAGAGGTCTTTTGAGGATGCATCTGGAATAGAAATCCCAAGTCATTCACAATACCGGCCCACTCTGCTTTCAGCTGATGTTTCCACGAGAAAAACTGGTTCCCGTCACATGGGCTTTTTCCAGCCACGATCCATTGCTCCAGTTCCCAGTCCACAGGCCCCAACGTTTACAGGCAATCGTCCTATTATGTCCTTGCCACAACCCATGCCTCGTTTCTTTTCTGTAAAGGAAGGTGCGCCGGTTGCACAACTTCCTTACAGTCAGGGCCCTTCAGTAAGGGGCATGCAGCTTGCCCCCGTCTACTCTGAAAAGCCAAGTGAGGCGAGCAGTCAGAAGCCTCAGAATGCCACCCTGCCACCGCACCAGTTCTTTAGACCGGCAAGTCTAGAGAAGGACATTTTTGGGTCTCCACTTTTTAGATCTACCTCCCAGGAAGTGCAACCGCCAAAAGATGCGTCCCACTCCTATTTCTACAGTCCTTCAGCTGCTGAAGCGCTCAATTAAAACGTGAACTGGAATGGTGATGCATTTGAAAAGATGTTTTAATAAAACGGCCTTTTCAGAGAAATTTAGTTGGTATGGTGGTGTTGAAGTGACTTGATTAAACTGTTCTACTGATAATATAATGCATATTTTGTAAACTGCTTGTTGACTTATTTATTGAATGAGTTGGACTTACAATAGATAGGTTTTGCATGAACTCTATATTAGATGCCACAAGAATTTTTACGTTGACTCATTTTACCACTGACTCAAAAATATCAAATGTTCATCACAAAAAGGTTTGTTTTAATTGTCAACAAAATGGCTTCCTACAAATGGCACACTTGCTTTGATTTCCAGACATTAAGCAATTTTCTTTTAAGCAACGATACTTTTTTAAATTAGTCTTACAAATTAATTGGGTTTTTATAAGGTTTACACAATTCCATGATTTATAGAACAATAGTGACAAAGTGACTAGAATTTGTAAAATTTCACAGTAATATGTTGACATGGGAATGGCTTATCCTTTTATACATTGGCATCATTTTGAAAATATTACTGACACAGATGCCAGCTCTTAAACTAAACAAACTAATTTATGGGTCATTATAGTGAACATGATGCAATATACAACAGCTGCATAATGAATATTGAAATTATGAACTATGTTCATCACCATTTTCACCTCAAAGCTTTCAAAGAGTGAACATTCTTTTATTTTCAGGGAATTTAGCTCCATATGCGCCATTTATTTCTATCTTAAATATTAAAAAAAAAAAAAAAAATTATATATGCAGTTACCAGTTAACATTAAAATCAATTTATGTTTGCTTTGTTTGTTTGTTTCGGGGCTGATTTGTGGTTCGTTCCTCCAAAAGACTCTCTGTATTTTTGTAGCCTATTTTTTTCTTCTTCGAATATTCATTTCCTATGGCGGTCAAGCGTAGTATAACTAAAGAGGACTACAACTCAAGTGTCCATGACTTTTTCACAAAGTAATGCCCTGTCCAAATACCCCACATTTTTGGCGCCTTGCACACACAGGAAGTAAGTGCGCAAGACTATAATGCCAAAGTGCAGTGCCCTTAATGTATACTAAACGCATATCCCATCATGCATTACGTTGGGAAACTCGCGTGCCCCGAAATCGTGAGATGTCAAGGAAAGCAGTCACACTATAATTCCAATTAATTAGATTGCATTTAATATGGTAGTAAAACATCAAGTGTTGCACATTTTGTTGGTGCAAAGAGTAGGGTATTTTTTACAACATTCGCAACTCTTCACAGTGTCTTCTGTTAGTATAAGTGACTGAACAGATATTTGGAAGTTTATTTTAAATAAGTATAGAAATAACTATTGTGCCCCATCGTGTTATAGCCTAAGTGGTCAAGTGCATTTGTAACCCCTCCACCCGGAGAGTATGGGTATTTGGACAGAGTTTCACAATTAATTCGCGAAGTTTCGTTGCATTCCGAAGTTACAGGTGGTCTAGATTAATTTGTTGATTGGACTCGCCATTTGCCCATGCGAGCTTGGGTACGCATGTGAGGTGAAACAAACTGGCGATGTCTTACGAAATTAAAACCTTAATTACAGTCTTTATATTATCAACAATATCACTTAATCTCAATTGTCGTACTATTAGCGCGACGTCTGAGCGGGAAGGTTATTCAGAAGAATACAGTTTCAATATTTTTAACAATTTTGCGGACTTAAGCGGTGCGTTGGAACTGAACCTAACAAATCCGAATTTAAAACACAGTAGACTCGCGAGTTCAAAACTTGACGTCCCAGTTGATTCTTCCTCCTACAGTAATACGAATGAAACGATACCTCAGTCGAGTGAGTACATGTATGAATCGCGATCAAACGACAGCACATCTATGCACTTCAACAATGAAACAACTCCACTCAGAAGTTTCCACAGAAACGATTTTCACATCGAGGATGGATTTCAAGCTGACACACCATGTGTGTTTTCCTTTTTCTAAACTATAGCCAACTATTAGCGTGTTTTTAAAAACCATGTTGAACGTTTTTGTGTTTTATGGACAGCATTTGGGGAACCAGGAATGTTTAGGAAACATTCTCGACGTGGGTCTAGCTCCCAATCCACATACAGGCCTATGTGGCAGCCATTACCCACGGTTCACTGCTCAGAAGAGGCGATGACCCTAAAAGCCTCCGGAAGAGAATACACGAACATCTTTGTCGAAAGAGGTGAGAATGACTTTGTTATTCTTGTTCAAGTTCAGTGTAAACACTGGATCACGTTTTGCTTAACATTTCACCCTGCTGGTCCTACGGACAATAATCTGCTGTGTTTCCTTCACAGTGAATGCGGCCCCACTGCCTTTATTCCAGATTCCTGCATATTGTGGATATTCTGTAAGGGTCACATGGAAAGATCTGGTCCTAACTACCCCATACAATGGGTGCTACATCACACAAGAGGTGCCAAATATGTCATCTTATACCTTAGTTCCTTGGTTTGTATAAATACTACTTGCGTGCTTGGTAAATTTACCATGCACGCAAGTAGTATCTATATTGATTTGTCTTTTCAAAGTTCTTGATGACATTACTAGTCCAGAATGTATTAAATCGTTGCTGTCGATTTTATTTTATCCCACTGTTTTGACATATTTATGATGTAACAGTTTGCTTGCTGTTTAATCAATAGTTTTAAATAAATTTTTTCCCAGATTACACATTTTAATCAGTCTTTCCCCTTTTCAGAATGGCAATTATGTTCTATCACTGCAGTGGTGGGGCAGTCCCATAAAGATATCCTGTTCTATGGCACCTGTGATCTCAAAACCTACTCCTTCTTTCTTGTGCTCTCAATTTGGTATGGTCATTGCAATAAAAGGCACACAGGAAGATGCTGAGAAACACTGGGTTAAAGGTAAGAGTGTGTCACACACACACACATTTGAGATTGTGCTGTTTTTATTGTAAAAATGATTGAATGCATTGTTCACATCTATCCAAATTAGAAGCTTGCAAAAAACTTGTTTTTTCACAATTGAATCCTTTTTTTGTTGTTGAGGTTTGACATTCTTCATGCATTTTTTTGTGTGTGTGTGTAGTGAATGGGAACATACTGCCTCTCCTGTCTGAGACATGTGCATATCGCATACAGTCTCCTCCTGAGGTCATTCTACTTCATGCCGCTTTTAATTCTGAATGCATGATGGTGACGGTAAGAAACAAAAATGTTTTAAGAGAAATGAAGGTAATTTTACACTTAAAATGACCACATTTGTGAATCTTTTACACAATTTTGTAACCTGTACTTGATGATTGATGGATTTTGTATAGATTTTTCTTTTGTCTACCCTTAATAGTATGAAAAATATCGAAAAAGTGACTCTAGACTGTGTAAAAGTTCATTTAGGAATATAATGGCACGTGGGATTGAGTGATGACAAAAAGGGGACAAAAAGAATATATATATATATATATATATATATATATGTATGTGTGTGTGTGTGTGTGTGTGTGTGTGTGTGTATGTGTGTGTGTGTATATATATATATATATATATATGTGTGTGTATATATATATATGTTTAATTTAAAAAAAGAAAAACAATTAATTAATCATTTGATAGTTTACACACATATTATTGTAAAAACTTTTATTTTGGATGCGATTAATCAGCTGTGTATAATTATTTTTATATATAAATACACACACACACACACGCATGTATATATTGAAGAACTATTTGCTTATATATATGTATATTAGGGCTGTGCAAAAATTAATTGCGATTAATCGCATCCAAAATAAAAGTCTGTGTTTACGTAATATATTTGTGTGCTGTATATAATTATTTTGTATATATAAATACCTATGCATGCATGTATATATTTAAGAATTATTTGCGCTTAAATTCTGTACATATAAATAAATACATAATCTATATTATATAAATATAAATATTTTATTTATGAATAACACATTTTCCTAAATATATACATGCATGTGTGTGTATTTATATATACAAAATAATTATATACAGCACACACAAATATATTATGTAAACACAGACTTTTATTTTGGATGCGATTAATCGCAATCAATTTTTGCACAGCCCTAATATATATATATATATATATATATATATATATATATATATATAATAAATAAATAAATTAGGGCTGTCAAACGATTAATCGCATCCAGAATAAAAGTTTGTGTTTACATAATATATGTGGGTGCACTGTGTATAATTATTTTGTATATATATAAATACAGACACATGCATATTTAAAAAAATATATTATTTATATATAAAATATGTATATATATATATATAATATAAATTATTATCTATATACAGTATATACATGAAAATATTTCTTAAATATATACAAGCGTGTGTGTTTAAAAATATAAAATATTTATACACAGTGCACCCACATATATTATGTTAACATAAACTTTTATTTTGGATGCTATTAATTGCGATTAATCGTTTGACAGCCCTAAAATAAATATATTTTATATATATATAAATTTTTCTTAAATGTATACATGTGTGGATTTATATATACAAAATAATTATACACAGTTCAGTTCACACGCACATATATTATGTAAACACAAACTTTTATTTTGGATGTGATTAATCGCAATTAATCATTGCACAGCTCTAAATAAATATATATAGACACACACACACACACATATATATATATATATATATATATATATATATATATATATAAAATGTATTACATTGCAGAAACAAGTTTTTCATATCTCAATCACTTAATGTCATAAGGTCCTTGATTAAAAAGTCACTGCTTGCTTTGAGAAAATATGAGCCTTTTTTCAGATCAAGAAGTTTCACTTGTTTTTCTGTAGGATGGAGAGAACATCCTTGTCATCCTCTGGGATGGAAAGGAGTTCACTCTCTCTTGTCCATTCCCACACCGGGTGTCTCGGTTTCCTCCCATCCTCCATCCTCATCCACTCCATGAACCACTTCAGCCCAATCAGGAGCAGGTGTCTTTTATCCCTCAACTTCCTACTTTCCCAGCAGGAACACCTAAACCTGCTGTGATCCCTAAGCGTCCTTATAAACAACCTGCAGTACCACTGTTTCATCCTGACAAACACCCTCATACCTCTCATCATGACTGGCATCCCGTCCATCAGAGACACCAGAAACCGCCTGCTCACATTCATCATCATCATCATCCAGCACCTCCTGTTGATAATCCTCCTAAACCTTTCATACAACAATATCTGGCTCTACCTGTGGATCATATTCCACAAACACAGGACGAGATGGTACCCCAATACCCAGTGATGCCCCCTCCACACTATGCACCGTACCCTATATCCTGTCCCCCTTATCCTGTGTCATTCTGTTCTAAGCCCCCCATTCAGTACCATCCTCAGCCAACCATGACCCCTGCTCCCCAACCGTCCATCCAGCCAATGCCATGGACTTCATTTCCTCGACCCACACACAAGCCACTTGTACAAGAGCCCCTGTTCCCCGTCTTTCCTCCGACTCCACCTGCAGAACCCTCCGAAATGTCTCCATCACTTTTTTGCATGAAGAACAAATTAATGGCAACTTTTCCCTCAACTAGAATGGACTCCATCAAAGTCAAAGGTGAGCTGCGTTATGACTTGTTTGATTGTACATGCTTGACTATAAACTGCTTTGATGCACATATAAAATAAATCAAAACTTTGTGTTTGCTCTTTTCTGTGGTGAAGATGTGAAGACGAATACCTGGATCTCTGTCGCATCTGTCTCAGCAGACTGTAACTACAAACTCCACTCCAGAGGTGGCAGTGTTAAGCTCACTTCACCACTACCTTCCTGCCACACACACAAAAAGGTGAGCCCTCAGTGCTGAGATTCACCACATTCACAGTTCACCCAAAAATGAAAATTAAGCCTTTAATTACTCACCCCCATGCTGTACCAATCCCGTAAGACCTTCGTTCATCTTTGGAACACAAATGAAGATATTTTTGATTAAATTTGAGTGCTGGATCACTACTACATAGGCACCCTAAGGGATTGAAACTTGACGGCCCAGAAATTCAATGAAGTAAATGTTCAAATATTCGTTATATATATTAGGGCTTGGCAAGGCAACGATTAATTGCGATTAATCGCATTCAAAATAGAAGTTTGTGTTTACATAATATATGTGTGTGTAGTGTGCATAATAATTTTTTTATATATAAATATATACACATCCATGTATATATTTAAGAAATATTTGCATGTATATTTTTATATATATTTATACATAATTAATATTATAAATAAATATTTGATCTAGTAATAACACTTTTTTCAATATATACATGTACAATATATATATTATATACAATTTAAATATATACATGCATGTGTACTACATGCACATATATTATATGAACACAAACTTTTATTTTGGATGTGATTAATCACGATTAATTGCGATTAATCTTTGCCCAGCCATACATACATACATACATGTATATGTATATATGTATATGTTGTTTGTATAGTGTGTGTGTGTATATATATATATATATATATATATATATATATATATATATATATATATATATATACACACACACACACACACACTATATATATATATATATATATATATATATATATATATACACACACACAACTATATGTATAGTTTGCTGACACATTGGGTATGATTAAATGGCGTTTTTTAAAAACTTTTTTTAATTGTTTAATTTGAATAAATGAATAGGTTAATACATAAACATTTTCCTGTTTTTTGTAGAATGTTAATAAGCAGCTGGTCTTGGTAATGAGAGAGTTCATCCCTTTTCCAAACAAAAACTGCTGCACAATAAAATGCATATTGACTTAAATAACATTTAATATATATATATATATATATATATATATATAAAATTTAAAAAACTTTTTTTTTAAATGTACACTTTTAAATGATTTTCTTTTTTAATGACTTGTTTAGGGTTGTTGGGTTACTTTCTGCACATTGTCCTGTGTTTTTCAGGTATCATATGTGACACTTTTTCACTGTTTATCCTTTCTTTCCCTCTGCTTTTTACCTCTCCAGTCCCCTACAGTGATCTCTCTATATGTCAGGTTCTGGGATTCCACTCAACTGCGCTCCCGTACCCTACAGCTTCAGTGTCACCATGTTGGAGATGGAGGCACACGACCTACACGACCTCACTTTACAACCGCTCAACCACCACCTAAATTTCAGGTGTCGTGTTCTAGCCAACACATGAGTGTAAAACTGCCACCTGGACCAACATCTGGCATCATTGTACAAGGTGAGTTTGAGGTCTGTTCGGGCAGAAACATCTGCGTTTTATCAATTCCCATAAAAATGGGGCAGTTATAGTTTGTTTGAGGTCATGTGATTTAAAAACATTTTTATGTAAATTTGTTTATATTTTAAAAGATTTCATTTTCTTTTATAGATGCTTCCAGTGGGATCAAAACAGAAGCTGTTCCTATTTTGGAGGCTCAAAGTCATTGCGGATATTCTGTAAGAAGGGATAAAGATGGTGCCATCAACGTGATCCTGCCTTACTCTTCATGTCACATGACTCATAAGGTCGGTGATGTCATTCAATGTTATGCAGATTGTATGACTTTGACTTCATGAATATTTGTTTCTTTTAATCAGGATGGACAGTACCAGATTATATTAAAATATCAAACACCGAAAGGGCGCACAGTTGAGTCCTTGCTGTCATGTCAGGCTTCTTTAAGTCAAGGTACAGTATGAATCTTTCTAGACTGTGTTGGGGAAAGCTACTTTTAAAAGTAATTAGGGCTGTCAAACGATTAATCGCATCCTAAATAAAAGTTTGTGTTTACATAATATATGTGGGTGCACTGTGTATAATTATTTATATATATATATATATATATATAAAATAAATATTCTTGAGTGTGTGTGTGTATGTGTATATATATATATATATATATATATAAAAAATATGATGAGCTTGCTTGTTTGTCTTTTTAATTAGTTGCCAACCCCTGTAACTCGCCCTTCTTGTACTACATTACCCCTAATACTGCTTATGAGTGGATTCAAATAATGTGGCTTTCTTTTTGTTGTGTAGAATCATGTAATGTCGCACCTGAGCAGCAGCTGGTCTGTGGATCTGTGGTTATATCCTCATCAGAGTGCCATGACAGAGGCTGCTGTTATTGTGAACACACTCAGTCGTGTTATTACCCCATGGACGGTGAGCTGGATAAACATTAAGTTCACACGGAATAATAAACATAATTTTTTTTATGTATATAAATATAAATCAGTAAATATTTTGAAAAGCAGCTGCTCCTTTTATTTTTATTTTTTAGAAAAAGTAAAAACTTTAAAGCACACAACCATGATTTACAAATAAAAAATGTGGCTTTAGAAGTAAACATATGGGCTTGATAATTGCTTAAATTGTTCTTTTTGTTACAATGTTAAAGCTACACTGTGTGATTTTTACCCCCATCTAGCGGTGAAAAGGTATATGACCATCCAGTGAATATTAGTTTGATTGATTTCGTTTTAACTCCTACGGTGGCCATTGTAGTCCAAGATTTAACATGGCTTCCAGTTCGACCTCGTCCATGAGCGTTAACTCAAATGTAAACGCGAAACGCACGGGTGTGTTTCCCTCTTTGGCTAATGTACTTGTAAGATGGAGGGGCAACATGGCGACCGACATTAGAACCCTTTACCCGTATGTATTTTCAATGGAGTATTACACACTCACGAGAATACTTTATTACTTGAACGAAGTAAATATACATTAATGAGCACATATATTTTTGAAAGAACGAAGTGTTTTTAGCTAAGAATAAACTAAAAGAGTTACACAGTGTAGCTTTAAACTGACAGCCATATTTTACAGCATAATAATTTCTTAGAATCAAACATGAACATGTTCTGGAAGAGAAACTTAACACCTGTGCAATTTTGTGTGTATCCCAATCAGAATGTACAATGGATCGACATTTTGTTTTCTCGGTTCACTCATCTTTCGCGGATCCGCCCTTTACCCCAGCCACCCTCGTCACAGCTGGCAACAGCTCTTGCACACCCTACAAAGTTACAGCTGACTTGGCCCTCTTCAAGATCCCGCTGGATGAATGTGGGGTGCACAGATATGTGAGTAGATTAGTTGCAGTAGGTGCGTATCTGAGGGTGTGCTAACACTGTTCCGGACCAAAAGAGAATGAAATACATTTGGTGTTCTCACTGCCATGTTTAACAAAATACAAAACAAGAACAAGACTTTTTTTTTTTCTCCCAATTGGGAGTTTACATCTCGCAATTCTGAGAACTTAAAAAATGTGTAAAGGAGTCAAAACAGCGGCAGGAATTCGTCTGTTGCACACAAACTAAAGATCTGCTTCAAGACAATGGGTCTCATTCATGAAACACGAGCAGAAAGATTTTTTGTGTAAATCGTGTGTAAAGTGGTTCTGGCGTAAATTTTCGGATTCATTAAAATGTTTGTATTTTCCAAATGTTAGTTGGTATGTGAGAAATCTACACCTGCTCCCAGCCACGCGTAAATGGTGCGCTTCTTAAAGGGATAGTTCGGCCAAAAATGATATTTAACCCATGCATTACTCACCCTCAAGCCGTTCGAGATGCATATGTCAATCATGTTTCAGACGAACACATTTTCAGTTATTTTAGATAATGTCTTATGCCGCGTTCCAGGCAACCTGTAACTCGTGTTTTTCCAACCTTATACCCGTGAAAGTGCACTGGAACGGCAGTCAAACCCGTGACGTCCCACCCGTGAACTCGTACTAGACCGATGTACTCCCAGTTACGAGTTCTGACGTCACATAGCCCGCGAACCAATGACAGCCCCTACTGATGCAGTGTTTCTGCAGGCGGTACTCGGTGAGAATACACTTTAGGACAATATAACGTCAACTAGTTTTCAGTCCATTGAGTGCAAGGATAAATTAATACCAAATACATTTCCAAATATACAAATAAAGTAAAATAAAAGGTATAACAGCTTATTGTGCCTCATGCGCTATTTTTCCTCCTCAGTTTCCCACAAATAAACAAGGAGTAAGCACCTTTGGCGTTAGAAATTATTACAAATGCGCGTGAGCCCCATAAGGTCCACCATGCTTGTTTGTTTACATCTAGGTAGTTTGGCGTGAATGACCTGGAATGCTACAAAGTCGTAAGTCGTGGTTTGAAGTCGTGATTTACGTGCTCAAAAACCTGCCTGGAACGCAGAATTAGACCCTTAATGTGAAGAAATGGGGTACAGCTCCTTCAAGTCCCAAAAATGTGCATACAACATTCACAAAAGCGTACGAGGTAGGACGTTAGCATAGGAAACGGTTCCTACGCTACGTACGCCGACTTCCATCACCCGTGAACGTACCGAACGTACGTCGATCGTTGCCGGAAGTCAGATATTTTAATTTATAAAGTTTTAAATATGTATATTTTTACGGCAATACCGCACGGATTACCCTCAGAAGGCCTTCGTTTATCCCACTGGAGCCGGATGGATTACTTTTGTGAATGTTGTATGCACATTTTTGGGACTTGAAGGAGCTGGACCCCATTTCTTCACATTACATCCACTGAAGGGTCTAAGACATTTTCTAAAATAGCTGAAAATGTGTTCGTCTGAAACAAGATTGACGTATGCATCTCGAACGGCTTGAGGGTGAGTAATACATGTGTTGTATCCTTTTTGGCCGAACTATCCCTTTAACATCCGAACGTTTTGCTCATTAATAAATAAGGCTGCATTTTAATTCACCTTAATCGGGTACATATTTAAACAGCATTTAAAAAAAATATATTTTATATAGTAATTGCATACGTTTTTTTCTTTTTAATTTTATTATGAGAGCCAGTACCACCACAACACAAAATCACCCGCATTTGGCTGGTGGCGGGTGCTAATTTCCATCCCTGATCCAGACCCTACATGTTTAGATGTTTTTCGTGTTGCATTCATATGTCAGTCGAACTGCACTAGAGTTCATTTGGAGAGCATCATGATTAGGATAGCAGTATTCACATTTATTCAAATGAACCGAACCACACTACCAGGGCAATCGCAGAAGAGTTCGGTTTAACCCATCCAAATTTGCTAAGTGTGAAAACCCCGAGGGTGTGTGTACATGCAAGTCTCAATGTCTGTAGGAGGTGGGTAAAACGGTCATCTACATGGTCGAGATCCTGAATAGAGTGCAGCCCATCAGTCTGAACTACGGCACCATCACTAGAGATTCGCCTGTGAGGTATGTGTGAAAATATAATCCCTCCAGTTCTCAAAGAACCGAGCGACAGGCCGAGACCTCATGTTCCCTGTCGTCCCAGGCTACTGGTTGAGTGTCGGTATTTACCCGGATCTGTGGCAAGTGTGGGTTACCTGGTGAAAAGCCCCTCCCTCGGACCGTCTATCAAAGCTCAGGGGGTGTTTGGAGTTCAGCTCAGGATCGCAGAAGGTTTGTTCACAACAAAACCTCGCTGAATCATTTTCTACCAGTGTACTCTGAAATATACACTGAAACCAAAAAAGGTTTGTGCATCAACTGCAGCCTCTTTTCATTCAGATGAGCTCTACAACAGCTTTTACCCACAATACCACCAGCCCCTGCGCATGCTTCTGGGGAAACCCCTTTACCTTGAAGTGCGCCTGCTAAACCCTCCAGACCCCACAGCTATACTGCTGGTGCATTACTGTGTGGCATACCCGCGCTCTGCAAAATCAGCCTGGATCATTATTTATGACGGGTACGAGATGTTTCTTCCTTTTTTTTTTTTTTTTTTTTTTCTTTCTCTGGTCTGGTCCAGCTAGCTGATTAATTGTATGCTTTTTTTTGTTTTTGTTTAGGTGCCCAAATTTTCTTGACCAGGTCCCAACACACGAGCCTCCTGCTGCACCTGCAGAGGCCCTGACCAATCATGTTCGACGATTCACAATCACTACATTCCAGTTCCTGTCTGAAGATGCCAACCTGCAGGCAGATGAAGAGGTACAGAGCGGCTCTGAAAGTGTTTGTCTTATGTGCACAGACTTTTGAAACGTCTCTTTTTGGCTCGTCACAGATTTATTTTATGTGTTCGACGGAGGTTTGTCTGCCCTCAGATGATCAGTGTGTCGAGGGCTGCTTTGCAGGTGAGTCTTCCCCTTGTATGCACGTTAGGGGTTGAACGACTTCATATTTTTTGAAGTCGTCTGTTATGACATCAAAGTCGAGTCGACGTCGACTAGTCGCTGACGTCATTCATAAAAACACAAGAGATGTGACAGTGTGACCACAATTTGCAGTTAATTAAAGGGTTAGTTCACCCAAAAATGAAAATTCTGTCCTTATTTACTCACCCCCATGTTGTTCCAAACCTCTATGTGTTTATTTGTTCTGCTGAACACAAAGGAAGATATTTGGAAGAATGTTTTTAATCAAACAGATCTCATTCCCCATTGACTACCATAGTATGTATTTTTTTTCCTACTATGGTAGTCAATGGGGAATGAGATCTGTTTGATTAAAACATTCTTCCAAATATCTTCCTTTGTGTTCAGCAGAACAAGTAAACACATAGAGGTTTGGAACAACATCGGGGTGAGTAAATACTGACAGAATTTTCATTTCATGGGTAAATTATACAGACGCTGCCAGCTCATAATGGGGCCGTTTACACCTGGACACTATGCGTTTTTACTGACCTGATTTATCAAAACGATTCCATTTACACCTGGTCACATAAATATGTTTTCGCAAAATGGATATAAATCCGATCTTCAAACAACGCGCTATATGCAGATTTAACGGATTTCACGTCACCGAAAGCAACTGTAATGAGCTGCATTTTATTGATCATCAGCTAAAGACCGCAATAAAAGAGACCGCACTGGTAAGATCATTTTGTTTCTTTACTTTTAACGAAGATGATTGTGTGTTAAGCGTCTGTGACTTACTTTCACTTTGATTTACGATAGTTTGCATGTTGGCTTTATGAATGTTACGTTAGTAAAGTATTTCCATACGCTTTATGTACCAATGCTGCTTTCTTGCTGCAATGACCCTCTAGGCTCTTCATCTGTTGTCGTCTGCAACGCGGCCATATACTATCAAAATTAGCGCAATAGTGTCACATGATCAACGCGACTAGTCGACGTCAAGCTTAAATCGTCACGGCATTGCATTAAGGTCGACTAATAGACTAGTCGGTTCAGCCCCTAATGCATGTATGGCTATAATTTCTATCTCTGGCCATGGATAGGTCTAGAGCTCAGTTTTCCTGCTCTCCTGTTTTAGTCATTTGTTAATTTTGCTGGTTGTATTTCATCTACCCAAAGCACTTTATCTCTCCAGATCCCTCTAATATGAAGGTCTGAGAAGAATTATGAGCTGGATAAAGCCACCACTCTTTTTGTTTGACAGATGTACACGTGGTCTCACTAACAATTGTAAAGCAATAAAGCTTTGAAACTGT